CGACACCTCTCTCTCGGGGACCTTTCCCCCCCTCAGACCGTCGTTTTGTGGGTGAGAGAGAGAACTGGCTGGGATGCTTCAGGCTTGGGCTCTTGTCGCCTTGTGTATGTTTGCGTGTTGTGAGCTCTGTTATGATTTCAGGGGCGTTTCTAGTCTAGGCTTTCACCCCCCTCTCTTTTCTCTTTCTCTGGAATGCCCGAGACTTGTAGGGGCCTTGATACTGCAGGAATGCACTGTGTATGTATGAGTATATGGACTAGGTGAGGGTGTTTAACACTTGTGGGTCTTTTATAGTGTATATTTTAAGTCTGTGTGTGTGGGTTAAGCTATTAACAACACTATTTATAACAACACTTTATTTGTATTGTCGAAGGTGTTCATGGACGGAATCATTAAGTTGTGAGTTTGCCGAGCTGTATGGCCATGTTCCCGAAGCATTCTTACCCTGGACCTTCCACAGATATAGAAACCCAATTTCCCAGTTTCCAACAAGCCTCACAACCTTGCCACAGATGCAGGCAAAACGTCAGGAGGGAATGCTTCTAGAACATGGCCGTACAACCTGAAAAACCTACAACAACCCATTCTCTTCTGACGTTTCGCCTGCATCTGTGGCGGACAACCTCAAAGATCATGAGGTCTGAATGCTTCTGGAACATGGCCATACAGCCCGGAAAACTCACAACAACCCAACACTTTATTTATAACCCGCCCTCTCTCCCCCCCTTTATAGTTCAGGCAAGGAGTGTACTGACAATGGACAGGCTTTGGACACTGAATTAGACTTAGATATGGCTATATGGTTGATAATAATGTTTTAAATTGATTATTAACCTAATGTTTTTATCTAAAGCGTAATGTCATGGTATAGTGTGTTTTTGTATGTGTTGGCATCGAATTGTTGCTGGTGTAAGCCGCCCTGAGTGCCCCCCCCCCTTGTGGTTGAGACGTACAGGGCACAAATAATACATGTGTGCAAAAGATTTGTGGGTATACCAGGCATGGGCAAACTTATTGTGTATACCATTTATACCAGGCATGGGCGTACTTTGGCCCTCCAGGTGTTTTGGACTTCAACTCCCACAATTCCTAACAGCCACTTCCTAACTCAATCCATGTTCCCCACCCTTGTGATGGTAGAATGTGGACTTCATTACCACTGAGCCTAATTGGAGCCAAACATACCCAAAGATGTATTGTCAAAGGCATTCATGGCCCAAATCACTGTCCCAGAAGCATTATCTCTTGACATTTTTCTTGCATCTATGGCCGGCATCCTCATACCCAAAGATGGTGAACCAGATTTGCTCTCCCAGATTTTGGCCTTGAGGTGGGATGCAAAACTCCTCCTCTTGATTTTCCTTTCCTTGACAAAATAACCATGTAGGTTGGGTCCAGGCAATCTGAAAGTCCCTGCCTCTCCATATCATAGAAACACAGAGTTGGAAGAGTCCACAAGGGCCATCCAGCCCCATATGAATCTTGGGTTCATGGCATGACTTCTCTAACAGAACATTTAGTAGCATATGTAGGAATAAATTGAAAAGAATAGGGATAGGTTCCTACACCACAAAAAGGGAGTTAAAATAACTAATACGCACATTTGAAATAGACATATGCTCAAATCCTCTGTGTGAGAGAGAACCGGTTGAGGTGCTTTGGATTTGTGGGGATTTTATATAGTGTAGGCATAAATTAGGTGTGGGTGAGTCTGCTGGGGTGCTTAAGACTACGGAGCATTTATATAGCCCTGGCACGGGCAAACTTAGTCCCTCCAGGTGTTTTGAATTTCAGCTCCCCCAATTCCTTACAGCCATAGTTACACAGTATATGTATGCGAACTAGCAGGGTGTATGTGCATAAGACTTGCGGGGCTTTTGTAGTGTAGTGTAGTGTGTTTGTGTATGAGCTAGCTGGAGCACTTAAGTCTTGTGAGGTTTTATAGGATAGGAATACACTATGTGAACTGCTGAGGGTGCTTAAGATTTGTGAGGATTTTATAAGAGTAGGCACACTGTGTGTGAGCTGCTGGGGTGCTTAAGATTTTTGGAATATTTATGCTGTAGGCATGCAGTATATGTACATGGGAGCTGCGTGTCAGGTGCTTTTATAATGTGGACATCTTTCATAATATGGGCACACTGTGTGAGAGATTGAGAGAGAGCAAGCAGGAGTGCATCAGCTTTCCGGGGCATTCATAGTCCAAATGCATAGTGTGAGTGTGTAGGGGAGTTGATTGGCAACAAAAACCTTGCTTTGTTTGTGTAAAAGAAGGAGGGAATGGGGAAGGGTGAGTTCTGTCGGCTGATGGAAAAAAAGGGTCACTTCTAATCCCTTCTTAACATGGATGAATTTTTGTTCGGGGGAAATGGAGAGAAAATTCAACTTGCCTCTGCCCTCCTTCCCACCCCCAGCCTGCACTCCCTTGCCACTTGATGGATAGAAGGCGCTTCCTAGCATTCATTTGGCGTCAAGATGGGAGGGGAGTAAATTTAGTGGGAGAAGCTGATGTTTTGTTGCTGGGAAGGAAGGGGGGCAGGGAAGTTGTGCTTGCTGCCTGCAGGTGTCCTATGGGCCTCCTTGGTGTATGGAGAAACATGGGGGAAATGAGGGGGAGGGGTTCAATGGGTAGGAATGACTCTCCCCCACCCCAGACCTCCTCTTGTGTGATTTCTGTACTGTTACTATGCATCATTTTAAAAAATAAAATCTACAAAACAAATATCCTTGGTCAGCTTTTACTTGCGGTGGAGAAATTGCATATGGAGGTGTTCTCAGTTTTGGCTGCTTTGTGTGTAAGTTTTAAATTAATGCTATGTTCATTTCTGTTTTTGAAAGAGGTTGTATCTCCTTTCTCCTGAATGTATATCAGTTGCAAGTTCAAGAGTGGCTTTATTGTTCAGCTCAAATGAAATGATTTTTGAACAGTATATTTTGAGGTACGATATTGTAACCAAATAATATTCAGTGAGTTTTTGTTATTTCTCTCTCTATTCTATCTGTCATCACCACTTTTTCTTTGACAGTTTGAACAACAAATACCAGCTTTTTTATTTTAACTTTTTCTTTGTTAATGTCTTGGCATACATTGGGTTAGCATATATTTAGATGAAACATAGAGGATGGAATTGAACCTTCATTGAAGAATTTTGTTGTTTCATTATGAGTTTTGGGGTCAGCTTGAATTTGAAGTATTTTCTTCAGACATTGCCACAATAACAAATAAATATTTTCAAGCAAATACTCTTGTTAGGAAGAATGATCTTATAAATTACTTTACTCGAGTTTTAAAATGCAATTTCATTTCTAAATGTTAACACTAGGTGGCTTTCTTGTATCATTCAGAAAACACTACACCCTTAACTGTCTCTACTGACTACACCATTTTTGTTCCTGTAGTCAACTGCTATGAAATGTTACTGTCTTGTTCCGTTTAATAATAAATTATATTAAATCAAATGTATACTTTTCCCCTTTGGTAATTTTATTTTGCCATCCTGATTCCAGAGATACTACATTTGTTTCACTGTTTCAAATTCTTCATTGATAAACAAATTTCAGATTTTTAAAATTAAAAGGTCTTTAATTGGATGCATATATTAAGAAATTAATATTTGCAATGAGGGATTCACATATTGTTCCAGCTAATGTAATAGCTTTATTGTAAACAATCAGTAATTTTTTGTTGTAAGTTGTTTGTATTATCTCTTATACTGTGAGAACTTATTTTCGAGGATACTAATAGTGAGCAGCCCTTTAGGCAGTCTTTGGAATGGAGAGAGCTGGTTTTGAAAAGGGCTAGAGCAGGCATGGGCAAACTTTTTTTGCCTTGGGGCTGCATTGTGGGCTGGACCATGAGAGAGAAGGGCTGGACACATACGGGGCAGGGAGGGGCCGGGAGAGGGAGAGGTCAGGAGGGACAGGGCAAGGCCCAGGTCATCGTCAGGTTGTCCTCCCAGCAAAAGGATGGGGCTACTCACCACATTCTTATGCTGGGAGAAAGGTGGGACACATGACGATTGCCCCCTTCATGATTCTCCTCCCCATCCTCCTTCCCCGATCCTCTTGGCATTATGCTGAGAGGAGGGCAAGACAGGCAGTGGCTGAGAGTGATCCAAGGGGCTCTCAGCTGCTGTGTGCCTTCCTTGAGCTGTCCTCCCGGCATATGAATGGGGCCAATTGCACCATCCTTATGGCGGGAGGAAGAGGGTCTGAAGTCAGGGAAAATGATGAGGGTCTGAGGTAAGTACCCAGGGGGCTGCATTTGGCCCCCAGGCCTTAGTTCGCCCATACCTAGGCTAGAGGTAGTACTGTGGCAAAGAGAGTAGATAGAATCTGTTCTTTTTTATTCGTCCAGGATGGACTAATCTCATGCCTTTTGTTACTCTGAGATGCTATCTTTTTATTAAAGTTTGGATACATTACTTATATTGATCAGTGGATAAGTTGATCCAAGTGTTTTAGGGTCATCCTGTTGACTACAATTTCTAGGCTTACAGGTGAATTATAAGAGTACTTCATAGGAAGCATACTTAAGAACTTAGGGGGAGTTACTTCAGAAAAAAATGCAACATTCATCACTTTTTAAAAAACTTTTAATCATGTCGATGACAGTGATTATATTCATCTATATCCTTCCCTTTCCTCAATGAGATTCAAAATGGCTAAAACATTTTTAAAACAATACAGATTGGAAAACTATACAGGTACTTTCATAAAAAATAGAAATATAAAAGCAATTTTAAAACAACTCAGCTGTTTGTAAAGTTAGAATATTAAACATTAAAACCATTACAATTATTAAAATATTATACAAACCATAAGTAGGTAGTAGTATATTATTTGTGTCTTTTCATATTAGCTTTGTTTCTTAGGAAGTCACTTAGGAGTGGGGCAAAGGGCAACTTTTTCTTAGCTATTCACTAATGTTTGTTTTGCTGTCTGTTCAGAAAATTTCACCTCACTTTCTGTCCCTATGAGAATTGGACTTTGAAAATTTTGGGTTGTTGTGGAAACAAGAATTGATGCAAAAGCTTCAGTAGGAACACGTT